ATTTAGTACTATATGTTTTTCAAATAAAATCATCCAAAGGCAACACAAAACGATACACACCGAAGCAAAGTTCCGCCATCATTCAGCCACTTAAATTCGAAGCAACTGCCAAAAACTACGATACATTTCGAAATGTAAAGATTTTTCAAATGTTGTTGCCTCGGCACTTGGCTGTGTTTTTCCAGTCAACTATTTCCATATTAGCTTCGAATAGTATGTCTTCTTTTTTTTCTACTTTCAAAGAAAGTGACGACACGGAATCTTTTATGAAACACACATTTTGCCCGCATTTTTCGTTCATTCTACGACTTTGTGGAATATTCTTTCGCATGAACTATTTTCTTTTGTTAACAATTTATTAAATTACTTTATTTTGTTTGCTTTGGACCGGCGTAAGTACCTTCTAAACATGTGACGGTCGTTATTTTTCCGTCGTTTCGTTTCTTTGGTGTCATTCCACAGTGTAATGACACAAAAGTTTGTGACTTTTTCCGGTCAAAATACTGAGACGTTCATGAATGAATGGCAAAACTTTTCAACAACATTTCATGGGGATTTTCGCTGTTGAACGCACACAAGACATCGTTTCAATCATTCACCAATGGCACTGCGGAAGAAAATACAGGGAAAGGGAGAAAGAGACAGATATACACCAAGGAAAATATTTGGCAGCATCATCATGGTGATTCAATCAATTTCAAAGTGTCCCACGCGTTGGTACTGATTTAGAATGTTTCTGTAAATAGATTGATGTCTAGTAAATTATGCCAAATGAATGACTTTTCAAAACTTCTATGTCTCTTGTGATACATGAATTGGAAATTTACTAAATACGAATTTTTCAAACAATAAAAAGATGCATGCTAGAATGCCTGTGACAACAATTGATAACATCATGTGAATGGCGCATCCCACAATATGTTTGTTAATTTAATTATATCATTCCTTTTGTGTCATATACAATAATACACTCGTTGATCGAAATTCCATTAATATAATTAACATCAACGAGGAACATCGAATGTAGTGAAATAACATACGATGCTTTCTTTATTAATTTAATTTTCTAGTATTTTCGAGATAACAAACAATGCGCAAAATTGATGCGAGTACCCCCAACTCAATTTTAACAACTCATTTCGCAATTAATCACCGCGCCAAGTTTAAAAGTTGTTGTGATAGCCCCATGATAACACACATCTACGAGATGTATAAAATGGAGTCCATATTCTCGTCCCATTTATTAAACAAAATACTGGTCACGAAAGTCTTATAAAAATTTCGTTATCTTAATCACATTTCGAAACAATAGTGCGATAATTTGCAAAAAACTTTAAATCGTGCTAATCACATGCATTTATTACAAGTGAATTCGAATTGGCTTAAAATAATGAGACTGTTTTCACTACGATTGAAAGAATTCACACACAGATACATAAAAAAATCTTATTGACTGAAATACACACGATGACCAATTAAGTGTCTGAGTGATTCGAACGAAACAAACTAGAAAAAAACTAGTAAAACCATATACAGATCCTCCAATACTACAACAAACGTTAGAGCTGTGTGATGAAGCGACAGCAGCGAACTAGAAGGTCATGAATGTTAAACTCATAAGTCTCCGTTTCAGTCATTTGCTTCGTAGACACGATTTGTTATTTCCATTTTTGTTGTTGTTGCTGTTATAAAACAATTGTCGTCAGTGATATTTGTATTAAGTTGAAAAAAGTGTACTCATAAAGGCATCGAAATTTAAATTGTTTGTATAGCATTTCAGTCGGATTGATTCATTTATTTATTTATTTAATGTGAAAGAATAAAACTTGATGTGATAATTCATAGAAATGATAACGAGTTTTTTTTAGAACCAACACAATCACATGGAAAATACGCAGAATACAATTTAATCTCATGAACTTTATACTTCTGTTGTTTTTTAACGAAAACATACCAAAAAACACTATTATTAATGAAGTGATTTTTATTTGCATTTTTTCTTTTCATTCTGCTTTCAAATGACACGCGAATTTTATTACAATAATTATTTGAGTTAAAATAACAACGAGCATCTTGCAATAAAATAAATACACTCACACAAAATCGTAAAGTTAAATTGTGATTGAATGTGAAAGCGCAACACTAAAGCGAGCACGATACATGTTTATTGATATATATGCGGTGCGCGCACACATACAACAATAAATATTTGAAACAGTTGAAAAAGTCGCATAAAAAGCTTCATCAGTACTTAAGCTTGTCGACTTCAACTCACATTCAGTTTTGTTTAATTGGTGATGCGAAACAGATGCTGTTAAAGTCTTTGCCCGCGTCATTAGTGCGAAGTGAAACATTTTAAAATCACAACACCGACACAACACACACTTGGTAATTTCCATTTTGCATAAATAAAAAATATACATATTCAACTTTGTTTGAGTTGAGCTATTTTGAAAAGTTTTTTTCTTCTTTTCGTTGAATTGGTAATACCGGAATGATACTCAAAGTCATGTTGGCCAGATAAATCTCGTGTTTATCAGTAACAGTGGTCCGTGATTTAATAAAAAAAAATAGAACAAATGAAAAAACATCAAAGCTATGCTTGTATGTATCTCGTACACCGATAGTTATTGACGTATTCGCTGAAGTGTGCTTGTATCTGTAAACGACGCAATTTAAATATTGTGTTGCCAAAATTTGTGATGTCATGTTTGAAGCGAAATCAGCATGAGCGATAAAGTAGTCGCAGTCGATGTGAATTTCCGTGTAAATTAATTGATTCAATAGTTGTTAATTGAATGTAATGACCAAAACGATTATTATTCTGCTAGTGCACTGGATTTTAAATGAAATGTAAACAACGATCGAGATTTATATCACGGTGTGTATGTATGCAATTTATTCCACATCCCTGTTCAATCTGAATGAGGAATTTTATTGCTATTCATGACAGAGAGAGAAAAAAAGAGAGTTAGCCTTTGTTCAAAAGTTTTGATTTATTTAATTTTGCTTATTTGCCGTATTCAATGAAATTCATGCTGAATTCGACATGTACACAATAAACGCAGAAAACTTTAACCATTAATTCACCTTTCAAAAGCAAGTTGTATTGCATTTGTACACAGTAAGACAAAGGTGTTAAATGGATTTATATCAGCTTTCACACTATGCTACCAGATTGGACCAAATGAGGTTTGCACACTTAAAATGTAAAGTGCATCTCACTCTATTTGATTTAAGTAAAAGGTATTTGCATTTAAGCACAGACAGTGGTTTAAATTCTATTTCATAGTCGGTTTTTAATCAAAATTGCGCCCCAAACGGTTGTACTGCGTGCAACAAAAGCGTCTGAATTTTTACTGCCATTACTAGTCTGAAGAGGGTTAAGTAATTTGAATTTCATGATATTATACGTTCATCATTTCAGATCTGGTTTCAGATGAGATGAGATGAAACTATACCGTATACATATTATACAGACTTATTGAACCGCATCAAATGTTGTGGTTTTAGATCTAGCACACAATCAAAATCAATATTAATTTAAGAAACCCCGAACGAAAATTGATTCGAATGTGTTTTAAAATAGAATTTCAGCAGAAAAAGAGGATTCTAAAAATGGATTTTCCAGATGATGTCAGATGATATTGTGAATTGTGAGAAAATCGATAAGAAAACCGGAACAATTGCTATTAATATTTGCCATTACAATTTAGTTTTATACGCTCGGAATGGAATTGGAACATTGAAAAGTAGTAAAAAGATGAGAGAGAGAGAAGAGAAAAGAGCTTAAGGAGAATCCACATAAAATAGGTCTTATCCAGCATAATCGGAAATGAAAAGCGTTAAAGTGCACACACATACACAAACATATATTGGTATACCAACATAGAGAAAAGTTCTTAGTCAATGATTGCCCTACTCAATCATCACTATCGCAAATAGTTTATAAACAACATTGCCAGTGGGTGATGGCAATGCTATAACCTTCGACTATTGCATACGTCGTCAAAATTTCTTCCATTCTTTTCTTCTTAATATTTTCTTCTTATATTTTATTATTGCTATTATCATTGTGCATGCTTCTGAACAACAACAGAAGTTTTCCCAAGAAAATTCACAATTCCGAAAATACAGCAATATTTCATTCGTTTGGCCGGAATTGATTTATCGCGTACACGAGATACGAATATGAATTATTTATCGATAAATCACTCGAGCAAATGAGAGAAAGAAAGAAAAAAAAAATCACGAAAGCAACGGAAGCGTACGATATCCAAATCCAAAATCAAAACGTGTTTTATTAGAAATCACAGAATGAACGGAGCATGTGGGATCGAAAGAGTTTATGGAATTGCTATATTTATGTTGGTGTAAACGAACAAGCTGGGTTCGTAAAGATGTTTTATGCAAAGATGTAGATGCTTCGAAGCAGAGGAAAGTGAAGTGTCTCATTTGTTGTCTGTAGCATTTCACTACCATAAAATATGTTGTATATCATGCACATTCGTGACTGTGTTCTTGCCTTTTGGGCAAAACGTCATATTCAATGGCCATATAAGAGATCTATCAATATACGATTTCATCGTTTTCGGTGACAATTTTCATCGGAAGAGGTAGTCATTCGTTTTGATGGGCTTGCCAATGATTCGATACAAGTGTCACAACCCAATCACACATTTTAAACATATTAATATATTAGTTTTTGATCATTTTACACGCATGGATGCGACAGTTTCATTTACACGCTGTGCTTTACGTACTGCTGATGTTTCGACTTTCTGCCATGAATTTTCATCTTAGACATGCACTAATGTACGAACGATGATATAAATACCACCAGTGTTTGAATTGAAATTCCGTAAGCCATGCACATATATAGAGATATAGATATGTATGTTTGTATGAATATTCTTCGTATGTTTAACGTTATTGAAGTAGTCTAAGCAGTCTTATCAGCGTGCGCTCATTTATTTATAAATCCTTTCCATTTGTTGCAGAGATACACACAAAAAACGAATTCGTTGTCATGAAGATAACGATGGATTTAATTCATACCCTGCTCTTGTTGGCAGCAGTTGTCTGCTCAGCAAACGCATTTTCAAGTGAGTATAGCCACATAAATTCGCGACAACGAATATCAAATACATCTAACCAAAACTGAATGTGTCTTCTATTTTGATGTTTCGTTTATTATCACGACACAGAGTATGGTCGCACGTGCAAGGACATCGGTTGTTTGCCGAGCGAAACATGCATGATTGCCAGTGATTCGTGCAGCTGGAGCCAAACAGAAGGAAAAGAATGTGGTTCATATCCCACATGCAAAAAGACGAGCACCATGAACAACAATTCACCTGGTAAGCAAGATTTAAATTTGGTTAAGCATGCGAATTTTGACTTTCCAATTGTGTTCGTCTATTGTATTTTCTATCGGGGGGTTTCACAAATGAATAAAACAATTGCACGAAATTGCACACTTGCACAACAAACAATCATTATTATCATCATCAACAACAACAAACATACACCCATCAAAATTGGATTGCGCTGCACGCTCTTGATTCATAAAATTGAAAAATGAATCGCAAAATTGCATGAATTGGAAATAAATTTATTTAAAACAATTCACCACACATACAACGCACACAAATGAAATAAATGGAATTACATGAATATCATTGAATCATATCGAGCGCATCTCTCTTTCTCTTTTTTTTTACTTCTTTTATTTCTGACCTACACAGGTGCCAGTTTGAATCCAGCACCCGACAACACAAGGGTAAATCAAAAACAGCAACCCAATAACCATGGTAATAGCTACAATAACTACAATCCGGGGTCGTATAATCCTTCAAATCCGTATAGTGGTGGTGGGATCGATCCGAATCAAATTTTCGGTAATCCAAATCGGCAACCACAAGCGAATCAACCTTGGAACAATTTACCCATCTTTCCACCAAATCCAACATCTGGTCATGCGTCAAAACAGCAACCATTTTATCCCCAAGCGCCACAAAATTATCCAAGCAATCCACAAAATCCTCAAGCAGTTCCAAACGGTTTAAATCCATATCAAGTTCCATTCGCTTTTGGTTTTCCACCACCCGGAACACAGCAGTACAATATATTTCCACCGCGTCCAACAACACGTCAGCCTAGCCTGCTCGACCAATTTCTTTACAATAAACAAGGCGGACGACGAAATGCCGGTGCAACGTTCGACTACTCCTGGAAACATTCATCGTTCATTTTCACTCTTAGCATTTGTAATGTTTTGCTCGGATTCATACTAACTAATGCACGTCACTAAATTTTGTTTTCGAAAATGCATCGATACGTATTACATATATAGACATATACACACAGGATTTCTTATTTAGTTTTCATTAACGGGCTAATAAACTCGCTATCTCTCTCATCCATTCAATACACAATTTGCATTGCACACACGTCCATAATTAAACAATCATGGATATTTCAATAGGATTAAATTGAATGCATAAATAATGATATGAAAATTTTGGAATATCCTGTGTGTATTATTTTGATATTTGAATAGGTCAATCTTTTTTTTTTCACACTGAAACACAATTGAGAAAATGTTTACACAATAATTCTATCTATCACTAATTATTAGGCAACCGTCTAATTTACAATTTAACAACGATTTTTATCGCACTTTGTACAAACAAACAAAATGAACAAGAACATCGATTTGTTGTTCCAATCCGGACGATGAAACAAAAACAAACACACACACACCTTTTATACACAAAATCGGACGATTTTTGAGACAAAAAAAAAGTTTTTAAAATTTTGATTTTTTTTTGCGGAACAACAAACGGCCTATAGATCAAAATATGAGACTTCAAAATTTAATAAAGTCAATTATCTAGAGAATTACCATCTAAAATCAATATTATTAATATCATAAATATGAAATTAATTTTTCTGATTTTGATAAAACCCAATCTATAAATGCATTGGTCACGTCTTCCCTTCAGTTATTTGTTTCGGTTTGGTTTTTGTAATAACGAATTTTTATTTTATATTATATTGATCGCTGTATGTAGAAACATGACAAGCTACTTAAATATTCAGTCAACTAACCATAAAGAAAACGAAAAATAATAATAATAATACAAAAAATCCGTCAGATATCTTCACGTATTAATGTATTGAATCAAGAGCATACAGAGAGAGAAAAAAATGAAGAAAATTCATTAAAAAAAATGTGGATGGTGCAGTTTTGATATGCACTTTTCTCATTTCCACACCAGTAATACCCTATAGAGTAGAGTATATATGAATATCGATTCGATAACTTAGCATGAAAAATAAATTTATTTGTTTGCGTCCATTGTTCATTTTGTAACTCGAATTGCAAGAGAATTGTTTTCATGTAAATGTGATGATTTATTTATACTTAATTTTGTACTACGGAATTACTATATAATATGCATATATGGTGTAGAATTTATAATGCCCGAATGAGTATGTTTTGTATGAATGTACATCCCAACCGGGCAACTGCTTGGAAAAAATAGTACATCTATAAAATTAGAAAATGCCAAAACCAAAATATTAATTGTCATGATTTAATTGCTTCCGTTTATTAGTATACAAAACACACAAAAGTGATAATTTATTGACTTGTTGAATGCCTATAAGAACCAACATGCTGTCAAATTACTTAAGAAAAATTGCAGTCTAGCATTCTTTTGAAGAAAACCGATTTGCTCCGAAAATGTAACCGGAAAAAAATTCAACCATTTTTTTTTCTTCAATTTTCGATTTCGAACCGAACTTTGCCAACTTTTCTCGAATCCTCTTAACAAAGTGCCTGTTTTTTTTTTCATCTCGTCTATGTTGTCAAACAAAAAAAAAAACAATGAAATACGAAGTGATTTCTTTGGCTTTTTTGAAATGCAAAACAATCATTCGGGCAACTCTTTTTTTAAAAAAATCAATTTTCCGTAGGAACGATTGTTTTATATGTCTTTTTATTTGACTTCGTTTCAACAAATTGTAAAAATGGAAATAATTTTATTGAGAAGTTTTTTTTTCAATCGATGAAAGAATATACATACACATATGCTAACATGTACCGTAGAACATAAGGATAATTTTAGAAAAGGAAAAACAAACAAGAAATGTTCTTTTGTTTCTTTTATTTCACAGAAAAACTAACTAGTATAATTAAGATAATGGCAATTGTTGCAAATTTTGTGTTTTTTCTGTGAGTTTTCTGCATTCTCAGTATGGAAATATACGGAAAAAGACTTTCTCAACTGTTTAATTGTCTCTTGTTCTTCTTTATCTTTTGTTCCCATTTTTTTATTCATTTCTTTATTTTGCCTTGCCATGTCTAGTGTTCTTTTGTTTCGTTATATTATTTCTTCCGTTTTCGTTTGATTGTTTATGTTTGAAAAACATTTATTTTAGGAGAAGATGGATCGCCACATAATACTGTTACACGTAGACCGTATGTACCGCCGTCAAATACTAATACAGGTGGAGCCAGTGCACCACCATTAGAGCCAAACAGTGGCAGTGGACATCTTTATCCATCCATTCCAAATAATCCAAATGCTCCGAGTGCACCAAGTCAACCAAATAATTATCCCGGTTATAATCCAAGTGCACCAAACAATTATCCCGGCTATACTCCAAATACACCAAACAATTATCCTGGTTATAATCCAAGTGGCGGAAATAATAATCCATACGGAAATCGGCAGCCTGATCCCTATGGTAACCGGCAACCTGACCCATACGGAAATCGACAACCTGATCCATATGGAAACAAAGGTTCATCATCATCGGGCGATAAAAGTTCGGGATCAGGTCTAAGTGGTTTCTTCAGCAACATTTTAGGCGGTGGTGGTGGCAGTGGCGGTAGTGGAAGTAATACACGTTATGGAAGTGGTGGCTCAGGCGGTCTTAATTATGGAGATATTTTCAACGCTTTGGCTGGCGGCAATCGTGGTGGATCAGGTATTTATTTTGTCAATTTTTTTTGCATAAAAACTTCTTGGTAAAAGTTTTGTTCATACTTATTATATTTTAAGAAAAGTTTCTTATTTATTGTCGACTGTTCAATGTGAATTGAATCAAAGTGCTTTTGAACAATTTATCATTCATGAAATAAGTTTTAATGGATTTCTCATGAATATGTTTATATACAATATACATACCATATATTCACAACTGTTGAAGCACTAAATTTATGTTTATAAAATTAGGTGGATCAGGAGGAAGTGGAGGCCTTTCAGATATTTTGAATTCGTTCGGAAATCGAGGATCGTCGAGTGGTGGTGGTGGTTCGGGTGGTTTAGGTGGCTTATTCGGCGGAGGAGGAAGACAACCACAACAGCCTCAGCCACAACCATCTGGTGGTTCAACTGGTTCAGATAACAGTTTCTTATCTGGATTAACATCTTATTTCGGTAAGATTCTTTTATTTAATTTTAAAATACTTGATGTATTGATCTATAATAGAGCTGCTCTTCACAAGGTCGATCGAGTATTTTTGTTATGTTTTTTCTATATTGCATCTCAAGCAATTTTTATAAAAATTTCCGGAGAAAATCATTTTCCTGTACGAATTTTCCGAAAGAAGAAATAAGGTGACTGGGATCAAGAATCTCAAAAAACATTTTAAAATTGATACCCTGCTTGAGTTATGCGTACCACAAACAAACAAACAAACCGAAAACGATTTTAAAGCTTAAAACATCAAGCAATAATTGAAATTGAATATGGCCATTGCCGCGCTTCCATGTCAATATGAGAAACGATTTTTATAAAAATCTTGTTTCTGATTTTTTTCTTTCAGGTAAACAGTTGACTGATTCATTGGTGCGGAATGCTCTCTCTGGAAATCGTGGAGGCGGTGGTGGAAGCAGTGGAGGTAGCAGTGGTGGTGGTGGTTCTGACTTCATCAATACCCTCCGATACAGCGGTTTGTTCAATGAAAATAATGGACATGATGCAAATAAACCAAAGGTTACCGTTAGCGGAGCAGGACCAGGTGGTACGTATTCAATAATATTAAAAATCTCTCAGAGAATTTATACTGAAAATACCATTTTCTTCTATATAGGATATCCAACACAAACACCAGCTTATCCAAATCAAGCACCGAATCAACAACAATCATACACACCAAATAACTCAGGCCGAAATTCAAATTCATATCCAAATCAAAACCAAAATGCTCAAAATCCAAACAACGGAGCTTCTCAATCGCAATCAAATAAAGCACAACCATATGGTTGGAATGTTTAAAACTAAATCATAGTCCGTACTTGATATGAATGAACACCAATTGACGACCGCAAAATTTGCTATGTATTTGTTTTGAGATTAAATTTACCAACTGTAGCATAACTCATTTTTTATTAGATTTTAGATCAAGAATACAAACGCACAAATGTTCACAACTTTCAAATGAATATATTCACAGTTCGAGTTAATAAAACATTTCATTAAGAATGATGCACAAATTGAACATGTAAGCAAAAGAAAATGATGATATTGTAATAGAAATCAAGATGGGCGAATATTTTCCAATAAATGTAAAAATTTCGGAATAGTTCGATCAAATTTAACATGTTAGATAATTCAATTTGACTATTTTATAATACAAAAACAATTTTACAAAAACAATAAACCTGAATACTCACATGGATAAGCTCCTGCAGCATCTTGTTTTAATCAACTTTGAATTAGCGATTAGAAAATGTATAGTTTGCACCTTAAGCAGTTTCAATTTGTTGTAAATATATTGGTTTGAAGCAACAACGGAACCACATTAAACCACACAAAATTCAGACAAAATTGTAAAACTTCATCTGTTTAGATAAGTGTTATACATGTGCTGCATTGCATATATATCGCTAGGTCAATGGTTTCCAAATTCAATAGAACAGGATTTCTACTATCGTTTTATTGGATGAAAATGTTGCTGTAGTTTGTAAAATTTCATTTACCACAACACTGAAATATTTCTTCGCCACTGGGATAAAATTGTAATGTTAGTGATGTACTCAACAAGTTCAGGTAGTATTCAAATAATTTATTGAGTTTCTCTTGGAAGTTCGTTAGAAGAGAATGAATTGGAATCTAATTGGAGCTTGAAAATTTGCAATAATCAACTGTTATTCAAGGAAAAATCCAATGAAATATAGATTTTTATAGCACAAATAGGTTATATAGCATATTCTCGAGGATTCAGTTACTTTGGGTTATGTAATAATTCGAGCGAGAGTCAACAGATTGAAACAAAACAAATTTCAATTACCACCATGATGCATCAAAGAGCCCCACTGTGAATCGGCAACGATGACGACAACTTTCTCTACAATAATTGCGAAATCCTATTATGGTTTTTTGATTCGTGTGGTTTTCTCTTTCGGTCTATTCATGAGTAGCCACATCGAATTTTCGAAAATTTGTTGAATATTTGATTAAAAAAATCTCTGCAGTATAGACGATATTTTTTGCAGTAAAATTTGCTCGAAGTTTGCCATATTTATTTATATTAGGCGATGATTTTAACTAAGGAAATTCTAACGGAACCATTTTACATGCGGTTTATATTTTCTATCATTACTCTGTTGAAACTTATTCCTGGACATAGTAGAAAATATGGCTTATTTGATACTCATCAGATTCAAAAGAATTGAAAATATTTTAAAAGGATTTTCCCAAATTGCGTAATGGATGAATAAAAATTAAGCTAGATGCATCCTGGGATGGCTCCCATCATAAAAATATATATAATAAATTGAAAAATCAATGTGTCAGAATAAAAACTCAACTTCGCATTTCACCTCATTCGCTCTCTTGAAGGATTTTCCAAAAGTGTGAGAAGGAGGTGAGATATGAAGTTGATTTTTTATTCTTACACATTCGAATGAATACATGTTCCTTAATGGTGGGAAATCAAAAAATCCATGCGAAATACGAGTTTTTTTCTTATCAAGAACATATGGATGGTTTCACTTCAGCTCATTTCCATTTTCAGTCACGGCACTTCAATTTCATTTCAATAACAAATATTTGATTTTAAATGAATGTCCGAGAATGAAAGCGAGACTTATATTCACAACTTATTGAAATGTAACACCGCCATACAAAAAGTGCTGACTGTCAGCATATTTTGTATGGCGGTGTTACATTTCAATAAGTTATGAATAGAAGTCTCTCCTTCATTCTCGGGCAATCAAATAGCAACTACAGGCATAGATTCTGACGTGGGTCCATAGGGCCCATATTACCCCCCTGAAAAGCGTCTCAAAAATTACCCCCCTTGATTTTTAAAAAATTACCAATTACCCCCTTGATTTTTGATCATATTTTTGCTTGATTAATTTTCAAATCAGCAACTTTCAAATCGAATCGAATGTTACATATCAACTTTTATGCATAGAATTTTTCAATTTGAATATAAAAACTTAAGCTAAAGTGCTATTCCTCTGTTGTTCTTCAGAGATTAGATTTTTCGAACAATTTTGAAATTACCCCCTCCTAAAACTCTGGACGTCAGAATCTATGACTACAGGTAAATAAAACATCTGTATTAGCTTGGTTGACATAATTATGAGGCTTTCGAATGGAGGTTTTCAAAATTGGTTGCATTTATGATGCAATATGGTGAAACGTAAGACTATTGCTGAAATGTAATTAAATTTTCAGTTGTAATTATCTCATTAGGAACATGTCGATTTCTTTTGTTGTCAGAAAAATGTCACAAACTAGATTGACACATTTTCATGGATAGTGAATGTTATTTTGGCATGTTTAATTGGATAATTACTGTATATCGTGACCTATATAAGCCTCGATCAAGTCTGATTAAAATCAGTCTCTAAGAAAAGTCGTTTTGAATCAGCCCGAAAGGTTGCGAAAATACAATAAACGAAATGGCAGATAATAATAAAAAAATATTCGAAAGACCACGCATATTCGAAGATATTAAAAATCGTCTACGATTTTTAGGCATTTTGCCTCAAATATCTTCTACACGCTTACTTATTACAATTCAGAGAATTGGTATCTTCAGTTTGTTTCTAATAAATTCAGTCGCTTCATTTTGGTTCTTGATATTCGAAGCAGAAAAATTAAGTGAATTCGTCGAATCGTTTTTATTCGCATCAACGTTTTTGATCACATTAATTTGGTGTTTTTGTTTTCTTGCGTCAAACATTGAAGCGGTTATTGATAATTTTGATGAAAAAGTTCAATCTCGTATGATTATTTCCACGAGATCAGCACAGATTTATTCGGATGCTTGTCAATTAATCGAAAAATGGTCAACATTGTTACACAATGCACTGTTGAAATTGTGCGTTCCGTCTTTTCTAATTCCTATAATTCTGCTCTCCTTCTACCAATATTTTACATCAAATCATTCGGAGGACTCATTTATTCTCGTGTATTACATGTCGTGAGTTTCTTTGTGTTGAAAAATTAAAAATTGTTGAAAAAATAATTATTTTAACAAATTATTAAAAGCTTACCTATTAATTGGAGAACGCCAGTGTCTTACTTAGCTACAATGTTCCTTCAACTAATTACTGCGATTTATGTATCAAAGGTTTCACAAATGATATTAAGTCTGTATTGTGGCTTTTGCTATCTCCTTGTTTCGTTTGTTATCGATATCAAGGAAAGTTTGGATCAATTCAATTGTCTCATTAATACGAAAGATAGGAGCAATCGAATCAAGATTAAACAACAAATATGCGAGATTATTCAATTTCATGCAGACTCCAGGCAGTAAAGTATTTTGTTGTGGTTTTCTTCTTAATTCAATTTTTTATTTAATGAGATTTAGTTTTTCAAATTAACTTAACAAATTTCAAAGTGACGTACAAAAAGCAAATTATTTCAGACTTGCCTATGATCTATCCGGTGCATACAGAAAACAAATTTTTCTATATTTCTCAATTTCGGCAATGTCTATAACCAGTTGCTTGTGGCAAATCAGTAAGGTAAAATTACAGTGAACATAAGTTTGAATCCAAATTTACAATTTTTTTTTTTTAAATAGGCAATTTTATTGGGGGAAATAATCGAAGCACTTCATATGCTAATGATGCTGTGCATCCATTCGCAATCTCTTCTTGCGTTTTGTTACTGTTAGTATACGTTATTATATTTCTATTATAGTTACAACGTTTATAATAACGTTTAATATTCTACGCATCCCCGTTTTAGTTGGGGAACTAGTGACCGGAAACATTGACGATGTGAATGACATGTTTTGGCAGTGTGATTGGTACTATTTACCGATTAAAATTCAACAACTTATGCCGATCATATTAATGAATTCCGAAAAAACAATTTACATTGGAGAATGTGCTGGACTTAATGCATCTCTTGATGTGTTTGGCAAAGTAATTACAAAACAAACTTATGCTCGATTTTCCAATGTAATTAAAATTTTGATACGTTTTAGATTATTAAAGCTGCTGTTTCTTACTTGACAATATTGCGACAATTTGATTGAATTTAAATATTATTAATCTAGTGCAAGGCGATACATGTGATGTCCGAAGTAAATTTCGAAACAAAAATTAATACAAAGCAACTCTATAACGTTGTTTCTTCTGGGGCCGAAAATTAGGTTGGGTGTTGCTTATAGTTGCAATTGGATAGAATTTACACAGGCAAACTCTTACAAGCAAATTTTAGAATCGATTTATGTAGCATTTTATTCACTAATAAATATTGATTAATATCATACCATTGTAATTTCATTCAGCATTTCTAAAGCCGGTTCGGAATTTCGGTATATTTTGTGAAATTATTTTGATTTATTAACAGAAGTATGCTTGTTTACCAATATGGCTTGATATCTATTTTGGTTTGAATATTATTCAATATATGAAAACATTGTATATTTCGACTCTCTTTGAATATTATTCAATGACCTGTTCGACGATATGCATGAATATGAAAACACCAATTCACCGTTACCAAAGGCAAAGAAAACAATGCCACACAATAACAGTATTAACGCAATGGTATCATTTTCAACTATCAGTTTTGTGTGTGACTTTTCAAAATAAAGTGTACATAGAATGTAGACACTACCATGCCGAATCGTTCATAACTTACAGTTAGTACATTCATAAAATAAAATGCGGGGAAATTCGCGCACTCGTAGACAGTGTGTGAAAATTTTCCATCAAGTGGAAATGGTGCACGAATGGAAAAATGGTCCCCCATTAAAATCGTATGGAATGAAGGCAATGAGAAACATCGGCTATAGTGATATTTAGAAAACTTCTTTCAATCAATGGTCTCATTCTCACATGTATGAACGAACAAACTGTCGGACATACAACACAACAGAGAAATCACATGGAAATCGAAAATAGTAGCCGCAAACGATGAACTTATGGCTTTATGAAGTCAGTTGCCGCCTGATTTTCGAACGATACGCACGCACTTAAAAAATAGCTGCTGCTCACCGCAACTAGCACCACGTTTCACTTGTTTGAATTCATCGAAGTGATTTTCTGGTGTTACGAAATTGCATGGAATAGATAACCTAATTTTGGTTAAAGTCATTGTATCAACGAAACAGCATAAAGACGCAGACAGATAAATTGGCGAATTTACTAAAACAAGAAAAAAATGGTTATGATTTGTGTGCTAAGTTCGCATAAAATTTGATGATTTTGCAATATTGTGATTATTTATTATGAGATCGTGATGGGTGTTCATAAGAAAAGTGCGTCTAAATGTAAATTTATTACTTTTATCAATAAGAGAAAATCGTAAAATTCGTGCGAAATTCGAAAACCCGCTTATTCAAGTGTAGATACGGTTCAATAAAATGCGAGAGTTTCCAGTAACTGTATCATCGCATGTGTATCACATAAATTCAAGCGCATCGAATTTATTTGACGATGATGAAAGAAAATTGCCCACAATCGAATCCGATATAAATTGTGCTCGTTTTCATCAAAAAGCGACCGCACAACAACAGCAACAACAATGCAATAACAACAAAAATACCGCCAATTATATTTGTACATCAAATGGTGATCTAACGTCCTTGCAAAGTGGCCGTTTGCAGAACTTTAGCAACATAAATAACATTCGTAACAATAATTGCAATCGTTCGCATAAAATCGCTGTAAAAAGTGGCAATGATAAGAATGGAGAGTTATTAGGTGAACGTGAGAGAGGCGATAATATTGACGGCAATCGTGCAACCAACAGTGGAAATGCGTCTTATTCGATATTCGATGCAATCACAAATGCTGTTACAACCGGACATTGTGCGAACACAATTTATCCAAGCAATGATCAAAATGACGCTGATTTTGATCAAATCAATCTTGATCCAATGCCCACATCAACATCCATGCATAATTTGAAAAATACGTCGATGCACATGAACAATGAATGTGGACAATTTCAACATTACAATCAACATTTCAACACAACTCGAACGCATCAATTTCCTTCAGCAAACTACAAACATAGTTATTTATTATGGATTGGAACACCTGTAGCAGCCAGGTAGCCAAATTAGTTGAAAAAAAACACCACATTTTCTCAATTTGTTCGTCCTTATTCGTACACACTGCATGCTTTTAAACACTGTTTATTAAACCGACGTTTTTTGTTTACCAAAACAGAAAAAATTACCACGGCCAGACCAGACTAAAAATAACATTCTATCAAACCCGTTCTCCGAGCTTTATGCTAACGATTTTGTTTTCTCTTCAATTAATTTTGACAACAGTTTTTTGTACTTGGAAAAATAACAAATTATAAATTAGAATCATTCATGAAACACACCGCGAATGCAATTATCAACACTTGGCATTTTGGTTGATTTTTGTGATTATTCGTATAATCATTATGAATTTTGAAGATAGTCCAAGAACAATGAAACTTTAATCATCATCATATTTTCTGCGATAAACTTAGTTTTCATAAAATTTATATGCATTATTGTACGCGATCTGATATGAATCAAAGAAGCGCTGCGTGTTGAATCCGACCACAAATCTGTAAACCAAACTTTACTCAATAAAAACAAGTTGAGAAAAGCATCGGATAGATACAACGAATTCTCCGTATTTACACCGATTTTCTCCGAAAAGTGTATATTTTATGGATGAAATTCAAGTTAATAAATCGGATCACATTCACCGAGTTGGAAAACATGGTTATATACCACTATAACAAGCATCAAAAGGTGTCTTAAAAGAGCTTTAAATAGCAAAATTGCTAGCAGGCAATCAAACAACCAATTTTCAATTCAGTTTATAAAACATTGGCCAATTTTGTATTCATTTCATCGTGTAAATCCGATTTGTGAGCACCTTATAATAAATATATACTAAAATAATTGACTTTTGCCACTGCTTAAATAGCATATCGATTTAAATTACCGTTGTTTACATCAACCACATACACAAATTTCACTTGTATACGACTCATAAAAGTCATCGACAACCATGGATATGTTATAAAGTCTTGAACTAAGAATAACTGGAATTTCAAGTGAATTTAGTACCAAACATTCAACTCACATAAGGTTTTATTATTGAGTGCAGTATTTTCAATTCGTTTTCATTTTCCACATTTGTGATGAACATCCATTCCATGTTTGGGTGCATCTTTTCACGGAAATTCCATCTTCGTTGTATGTAAACAATTTTGTATGCATTCAGGCGTCGCGTTGCTGGATGCGTTTCAACGAAAATAAAACGGAAAAAATAAAGATGAAGATAGAATAGCAGTGAAACTGGAGCTAAAAAAAAGTTGCATGATTTCCGCATACCTCAGAATCCATTCTTATTTCATTTTGGCGCGGTTAGCGAGCACATTGTATTTCATATCCAACATAATTCTTCTGCTCATTCTCAATACAATTTGAGCGAGTGGCAAAAAAATCGTCAAAAAAATGATAAAGCGTTTGGGAATTAAAAGTCAGTTGGTGCTCGTTTTTCCATTCTAGTTGTGCACATATCAAATAAATTGCCAGCAAAATGTGCTTTGAATACATTTTTCACTTAATTCTCGAATTAAGCGATACACTTACTCTCTCTTTCATTCTCTCTCGTGCACAACTTTTGTTTCCGTCTCTTCGGGGTGCAACAGCTACTCACCTTTCGCACTCTCTGTTTTTGTGTATATTGTCGAATATTTTCGTTTTTCCTCGTCGTAACAAGTGTGCAACGGTTTTGCCGAGAAATTTATTTTCAATTGCAATTGTGAGCGACAACAACACACAATAATGAATGAATAATAAAGTTTTTCGTCGTTTTCGTGTTTCAACTTCATTGTTCTGAATTTAATCTCGCAACATTTGTTGAAACACGTATAGTTTTGCACTCGTTTCGATTCCAGGATTGTTGGTCAATTGGTCGAAAACAGATTTTTCAATGGCTTTTAAATTGTGCTTTATTTTCACTGGTCATGAACTCTTTACACACGGCCCAACTAGAATTCGATCTCACTTTTTCTCACTCCTTGGAGGAAAAAAACGTAAAATTAAAATTAGTTTAGTAAAGTTCCTTCATTTTTTTGTCCGCCCGTCAATTTTCCACACAATTCCAATAAAATGTTTATTTAAAACTTAACTAGATCATGTTGTTCACCATTGAACGTACATGGACGTTAAATGCTAACGGCAGACAGCTATATGGAATGTAGTTGCTTTCTCTCTCTCTCTTTGTCTTTCTCTATTCCTCTGAGTGGATGGCTCTCTTATTCGGAATAGCACCCTTCTCCGAGAGAGAGACAGAGAGAGCGTGAAGAAAGAGTAAGCACAGCGCTCAATAAAACTCTGAACACAGTAGTGAACACATATCATTTAAAAAACAATTTGTAAAGCGATAGAGCTTCGAGCAACTAACACCTCTAACGCCTCGAAACAAGGCAACATCAACATGTAGAACGGAAGATACGGGAACGCTTTTTGAATAAAGCGAATGTTAAATACAAAAGTTTTTTTTTCTATTCAATGGAATGTGATGTTCATAAAAATGGAGCATCCTATGCACCGAACCGTGTGAAAGTTGGATTGAAGACAGAGGAAAAAAACGTACTTGAAAATGAACTGTAATTTGTTTTCAAATTTATGAGCACTTTCACGCAACGTATCCACATTTTTTTCTACAGCATTCTTCTTCATGTTTACATGAAATCGTTGATGGTCAATTGGTACTAAAAATTCAAGTGATTTTCAGGTATTTCGATTTATACAGTCTTCAAATTGCTGTGTGGGTGAAAGAGAGAGAGAACTTTTCCTTGTTCTTCTTGCTAATAGAATTAATGAAACCTTTTTGGTTTTTGTTTGGTAGTTCTTTTGAAAACTTTTTCCGTTGAGAAATAGATAATAAATAGGTCTTGTCGCGGTTACAAACAGAATAGTCATTCAGGTCGAAGTTTCAGCAATAATTACTATACTTTTTCTCATTATATTTTTCATTGCAAAGAAGAAGAAAAAAAAAAATAAACAATGATATTGATTCAAAGTTACATTTATTTATGTATTTGTTTGCTGACGATTTTAAAATAGAAGACTAGCCAACTGGCTCACACAGCAGCTCACTAATTCGGTTTCTATTTCAAATAGACTATCTCTCTCGTGGGTTGTTGTGTGCCAGTATAAATGTTTGTTGATGTTTCGGTTTTCTTTGGCGCATTTGTCGGCAGGAATTTGGTTAACATTTCTTTTCATTTTTTTTTTGGTTGCTGGTCTGTGGCTATTGTGTTGCAATTTTCCTTCATTTGAATATTTATGGTCGCACCAAATGTAAACTATGTGCAATAATTGAATTCCATGAATTTTTGTCATTGCCAGGAGGCCATTTCGGCAAATTTTCTTCGCATTTTTATTGTAATTTCTTATTTTGCCTGTCTTTTACATTCTTTGTATCTCGCCCGTCTCCATTTCTCCACTTCTCTTTATCACATTCATTTTTCTCTTTCTCTCTCTCTCTCTCTATCACTCGTTCTCATTTTTCCTTTGGGGATGTTTCGCTTATGAAAATGATACGAAACCAAGTTTTGCCGTCGCAATAATGGTCGCCTCTCTCGCCGGACCACAGTGGTTGTTAACAGAGGAAAAAATTCGCAATCCGAACTTCAATGGAACTATCAACTACAACAATGCTGCCATAGATGACGGAATGTACATTTTAAAGACTACAAAATCAAGTTTGTGGATATTATGTTTCGCTCAAGGTAATTTCTTATTTCTCTTGAATTTATTATCGCTTTATATAATTTGTATTTATTTATATTTCTGAACACGCACGCTGCTCGAGCCACTGAAATTGGAACAAAGCAAAGGGCCAAGCAAAGGGCTTTGAAAAAAATCAAAAACAAATTAAATTACCTGTTTTTTTATGGGACTGAAGACTTTCGGTCTAGCCAATATGAGTTCAAATGCGTTTAACTTACGCAAAATGAGCATTTATTATTGATATTCGAAGTAGAAAATACCATATTTTTTGTTGTCATTAATGAAGGGTCTGCAGACGACAGACTTTACATGCACAAAAATGCACAACATGTTTTTTGTTCATTATGAGCCACGAGATCCGTGTACCCCCCATAAGTCTAAGAGAAGCTCAAATATGTTTGCAGAGTCTTTGCAAAGACAACAAGCATAATGCGACTACTTTATAATTGATGCATTGAAGCAGAGCTCGAACTTGTGTGACAAGACACACGTACTTTGCACAGCAGCAGCATAAGTAGAGTCACAAGTGGCTGGAATTCAGTTGAATTCAGCATTCCGTGTATGAACACTTTATCACATTAAAGCCCGAAAAGCTCAAAGGCTATTGACTAAAAGTTTGCATACAATTTTTTCATCGTACATTTTTTTTTGTTCGTTCTTTACTTTAGTTCGGTGTATCCGGCCAATTTCTCAATACAAGATTTAAATTCCATGCTTGTTTCGGGGCGTCTTTCACCATATTTCCAAGAGTGGATATGTTTAAAATATATTATTAACATGATTTATCATCATCATTATTATCCTCACCATCATCATTATATTTCAGTTTTTTTCTTCTATATTTTCAAGCCTTTTTTCCTTATTTTAATTTTGACAAATAATTAAATAAATGAGCTTTCACGGCGTATTCCATCCCTAGAAAGAGATTTTTGTTGCTGTATTTTTGCTTTTAGTTGGGATGATGGAATATATAGAGACGAAGCTTTCATTGACAGCAAATAAAGGAAGAAAAAACGATAAGAGGAGATTCAATGTAAATTTGTTGTGTATGCGGTTTTTCTTGTGCTCTTATATTGTGCTATCGTACCGAGTAGACACAAAATTTCCTATTTGCATGGCTACTGCACCGATGAGAGTGTGTACCACACGTTGTAGCACGCAAATCTTATTGATCAACCAGCACAAGCATCTCTTTCTCTCTTGCGCCCCTTTCAATGTGCAATTACGGAATATAGATGCAGCAGCGTCGTCCGCTCTAACAAGATCTAGAGCAGCTAATAAGCATATCACGAAGCGGCGAGAGCAAGAAAGAGAGATTGTGAGTTGAAGATGTTGTATGTATGTCTGCGTGCCAACTATCGAATAAGATGCACGATGTAAAATGCTCGAATTGTGCTAATGCGAACGCTCTATGCGGTAAACTGGGTTACCAGTGAATCTTGTTATATATTTTTCCTATTATTTTTTTCCCTCTCGCTACTCCGATGATCAAATTAAATTTTATTTCCCCATATTTCTATGCGAACGCGCCTTTCCGTGCTTGCACAGCAGCCCATAACCATTTTATTTTTTGTTTCATCTCATTTCGCGAATGGCAACAAATATTTTTGCAAATGCAGTGTTGAAAGAATTTCCCAAGCAAGTGGAAAATTGCAATGTTCGTTAAGTCCGATTTCGAATGCAATTGCTGTCCGTAGTTCTTTACAACTATTAAAAGCCATCGATGGCAATAAAAATGAATGTCGTGCACGTTAATAGTTTTGTTCGCACCTTTTAATTCAATTGTTCCAGATTCATTGTGTTGCAACCGGTCTGTGTCAATGATGATCAAAGTTTTGTTGCAAAAATTCCATAACTGCATTTCAATGAAGTAACTTCATTACTGTAGTGAATCATGCAATAACTTTAAATTCATTTTCTTTGAAACATACCTTTTTTACACATATTTTTGTTCATGTAGGTATGAACACTCTTCAGTTTAAAGGCTGTAACAGAGTATGTTGTTGTTATTTTTACATGGTATGCTTAACTTGATTATGCGAAATACGAAACTTGTGATAGATTTAATTTGTGTGCCTTTTTTTACTGTCGAGAGTAAAAGATTTTATGCTATGAAAATAGCATCGATCAAAGTGTGAAAACAGTGAAAATAAATTAACTACTCATTTCGAAACATTGACGTTGATGGATAAGACTGTGAAACTTTTTTGAATATGGTGACGACCCTTTCCAAAATTAGTCGCAATATAAAAGCCGTCACACAACCCCTCATGCGAACAGGCCGACACATGAGAGGATACACCAATATCAAATGTGGCTGTCGATGTCAGTTTAACGGGATTAATATTTCATTAGTGTAAAAAGATTCGGCAAAACCTTTGGCCATATAATGTATCCATTTATAGAAGCGTTTCACTTCAAATCGCTCTCTCTATCTCTCTACCAAAGCCGATTTCATACATTTTGGGTTTGAATGCGTGCCAAACAAAATTGACGAAAAAAAACCGACAAATAATTTATGAATAGTTTTATTTCAATTTGATTTAATAAAACAAAAAATTTAATCTCTCAGGAAGATTATTTCTCTCTTTCTAAATGTCAAGTGATGAAAAATTAATGTGTTTTTTTTTGCAATTGTTTCCAGGTGTGGAATATCAATGTTCAAAAATTGATTATTTTCCAAAAGATGAATACAGTCCTGATCCCAACGATTCAACATTGGCCATTCCTTGTAAGTATTAAATCCCCGCTTAAAATTTTCATAAGTTAATGAACAACGAAAAACAATTTCTCTTCGCTATTTCAATCGTGGCTGGACTATGGACTGTGTGCCATTGGCCAATAACTAACTTTCTAATAGTTGAATCGTGTGATAATTTACTTTTGTACTGTTATTTTGTAACAATTAAAGTCCGTAGTGTGAATTGGATTGGATTGGATTAAAACAGACGAATACAAACCAACTAAATAACGATATAATAATAATTCGAGTCATCATCATACTGGCAAACTCGTAGATACTTCAAGTATCTGGATGTTACTGAAAAATGAAAAATAAACGAGTAATTTTTATTCAGTTCAGTAGATTATTATTTCTTTCGCTGTGTTAGCGCAAGAACTTTTCAGCTTAATTTTCATCTCTCGTCTGTCTCTTGTTGCAATTCACTTTTCATTAAAATAATGCGCTGTAACTATTTCTCTTCTTCTGATGATGGAAAATGCATTTCAAAAGTTGAAGGAAGCAAACCAACGGACAGACAAACGAAACGCATTAGCACCAGCGTACGTACTGCATGCAGAGGGACCTTTCAAATGTGAAACAGAGAACAAGAGAAATGTGTGAGAGAGTTGTTTGCTTTGGAAACAGCACGAAGTAAAATGATTTCACAGAAAATTGAGTGACGTGAAATGAAATTGCATCTGAAACAGACAACCACAGCAAAAATGCGCCAATCCATATACATATATAAAGAATAAATAAAGTAATGCGTTTGTATTTTTGAGTGTCTGTTGGAAAATATAGAATATTTTACATCGAACTTTTATTCATACAACAAATTCACGAGTAAGAATATATATTAAACTGAAATGACACATTTCTCTTATTTTATAAAAACAGTGTCCAAAAATATGTGTGCATATCAAAACAAAAAGTAATTTATTCGCGAGCGCTAAATAGAAAAAGAAAGAGAAAAGCTGCAGCATTCTTCTCTCATTATTATGACACAATTTTCCATTTTCATTTCGAATGCAGTGAATATAAGTAAATAGAGAGATAATGCATTCATTTGAAGTTGTTTGGATCTGACGGCAAGAAGAATCGATGACGAGGCATGCATTGAATCGCTGTTACGCTTTCATAATCTATGTATTCGATAACACCACACCGAAAATCAGCGAGAAGGAAAATATTTGACTTTTGAATAGATTTACTCCAACTTCTGACAGTCAGCAGATTAGCCACATTTTGTAGAATAACTTTGCACTGTCACTTCATACGATAGCAAGCAGTTCACTTCTAATATAAGCAATGCATTTTATATACTATGTGCAAACAGAATGGTGAGTCGAAATTGAGATAGCAAAATCACACTTCACATGTACACAAAATCAACGAGAAAAGCGGAAGAAAATCACATCACAGATCTACGTAGAGTGTGTGTAGTGTAGACACATATGACAAAACGAGAGAGTGCGACTGAAAATATTACGGAAAATGTCTGCATTTGTGAATTTCAGCCATGTATCACTTGAAATTTTAATTGAAACTGGAAAGCATTTAATCAACACTTTCGGACCTTGTTGAAAATTCGACACAGGAAATATTACATGTGAAGAATTTCCTTTTCATATTATCAACTTAATGAAATAATTAAAAGGTCGAATGTTCAACGTAAGGGTATTGCTAAGCTCTCTGGTAAGATTTATATCCATGGCGTCCAAACTAATTCAAAAAACTAAAAAAACCACAAAGTAAATGTTTTATTAATTCAAGGTGAGGTGGAGGCGCTTATCAGCAAACTCACGGCAAAATGGGCAGAGTAGAAAAAATAATGGGGTGCGGTTACGGTGAAAGTCCGTTTCTACCTCGCTCAACTTTGGTCATTTTCAAATTGCACACTGACTACAAAGGCAACAAGAAAAAAATAATAATAATAATATGAATTTAGAGCAAACGAGTAAGCGTCAAATGGAAGGTTCCGGATAGTCAATGGCTTAGCGTTAATGAGAGTATTGAGGATGGATTTAATCCACGTGGTGAATTCCTGTTTCCGCTTGAGTTCAGGCGAAAGATGTGTGAAAGAGCGTGAATGTGTATTTTTAGCGCGTTGCTGTTTGTGAACGCGTGAATTGGAGCGGTATTCAATCGGTTACCATAAACATTGTTTTAAATGAATGGATACATTGTGTCAGTAGCGAAATTATGTTAAAAGTGAATCTGTGACCCACACATATTAGAAACAATATTACACGTTATCACATCTGTTTTGTTTGCTGGATACCAAATTTTCATGATCTCATGCTAGTGATGCTATGAATTATTATTCATCATATCTTTAGAACATTTTGTTTATAGTAAACTCCATTTAGCATAATCATTGGAGAGAAAACCAAATAAAGTGAAAAAAAAGAATCCCCAATGTATACATAATAAAGAAGAAAAATCGTTTAAAAAATGACGCTTTGTTATGGCATTTCCTTTTTCAACATATTGCACAGTATTCCACAAAGGTTCAGACCCAACATTGAGCTTTGTTTAGCTTCGAAAGAAAAAACTGACACTCAGACAGAAAAGACACACACATAGAGACACACACACACACTCACATCAACAAAAAATCCATTTCCTATGTCGCATGGTTATTAGCCTGAGCCGCAACTGCATTATGTTTAACGTTTCGTTAGATGTCAAAGCATTCCGATGCTTTTTACGTTGCTCAACCTCGAGTTACACTCTCACACAGCATAAAGAAGACAAAGTAAATCAAACGAAAATCCTTTTTTCTGTAAACAGACGATATGCTTTTCATACAAAAACACAAATATTGATGAGACTCAATAGACGATCTAACACGAACGAACTGTGTATCATGTATCGAAATGAATGCTTTTCTTTTGGGTGGAGTTCATTGTGCTCAAGTGGATTTTCTTTTTTTTTCAATTTGCTAAAAATAAATATTAGTACAGTGAAAATAAATTACACTTCCTTCTTTGTCGTCGTCGTTTTGTTTCAGCTGTGCGCAAAAACATGGTGTTCAAACAACTTTGCTTGTAAGCATTAATCCAAATTACTTGATGGCCCATGAGATATCTTATAATATCCATTGCTTTGGGCTAATTGAATTTCTATCTTGATTTCATGGTGTGCGTTTCATCACTTTGTGAAAATTTAATTTCATTATAATACACAGATATGATTCCAATTAAACAACCTTTTAATTCTGTCGTTCAGCTCAATTTTGCAATGTTTGGAATGTCCACAACAAAAGCTAATCAAAAGCAATTGTCGAAAATGTGAGTTTAATTGGATTTGAAATTGGTGCAATTTGTTAAACACAGGATTGGTGCATTCATCACAAGTGTCGTTATTTGTGTGGAATGTTAAATTGAATCAATTGCGGCTGATGTGGTATTAGTAATTTGTGAGTGAGAGGAAAAACAAATGGAGTGTGAGATAAAATCAAATGTCGATTTTTGTGCGACGTCCGACTTTTTTTATCGTGATTTGGCGTTCGGCCTGTCTTTTTTGTTTTAACTTCCTCTATCGACGAATTGTTCCATCAAATAGAATTTCGTATCATTCTAAAACAATTTCAAAACAAATTCGAACGCTTGAAGTGAATGAGAGAGAGAAAAAAAGTGATACGGAAAATGGGAAATGGTTTGCTATTGTTGGCAGAATATTCATTTGGCCAAAAGCAAACGAATCCGGTTTGAATTGGGAAACAAATGAAAATGAAGAAACACAAGCAGAAAAAACCCATTGTAAGCGATGAAGAGGGAAAAAACCGGTCACGGCGTGAATGGATTGTGCGACAGGGAGCAACGGCTCGAACAATGTCAACATTTTATTTCATCGCTTTTCTTGTCGCCAAACTCAATATAAAGAAAGTTGCGAGATTCTCATCTTTTATGTTATTACTTTGCGACTTCTTACAATTTTTTTTCCTTGTTCCTTTTTTGCTCATCGCTTTTTTTGTGTTGTATATATGATTTTTATTTTCATTTTTGTTGTGCGCATTCGCCTTGTGTTTGTTGTTAGCTTCGTTTTTCAATAGCTGAAATTGAGCAGAGATTTCCCATAAAAATTTTGCAATGCTCGTTGTGTGGCCATGTTCATCGCATTTTCACACTTACAATGAACGATAAAAGGAACGGAAATTCCTGCAATATAAATACAAAAGGCCGAAACATAATTGTTTGTTCAGTGGCAACGTGCTTGCTTTGGATAATTATCACTGTGTGGTCACTCGGTGTTTCGGAGATAGCTAAGATCGATGTCACTATTGTTAAGGAATCATGCGGAGTACACAACACCATTTAACCACATGCACAGAGCGTTTCGGAGAAATTCACACTGGCATTGAGTGTGTATTAAAGACCATTCACATTTCAAATTCACTCTGCATTTTATTGTGTACCGGAAGAATGGCATTTGCTTATGCCAAATATGTATTACTCGAAAATGCATTTTAATCAGTTAGCTAGAAGCTTCTAGCCAGCTGAAGACGATGCAAATCGCACTAGAATGCAAACAGACAAATTAAATTATCGATTGTAAGTGAATAATTTTGTGTCGCACACAGGATTTGCTCTCGCTCTTTTAGTCGGTGCGAAGGGAAAAGTGGATTAGCGTGCTTCAAGCTACTGTTCCGCTTTTCATTTTACTCGCTTGTTGATTTGTTGGCGAAGTGTTGAACGGTGCTCCATAGAAAATCAATGACATGGCTATATGTACCCATACACACACACGTATACACACACACGTATGCGTGTATATGTAATGCAAAATGAGTAAATATTCCGGGAAAGTGTTTAAATGCAATTTAAATGCACTTACTAGCGAGAAAGCAATAAATCGAGTAGCTAAAACTTTCTTTCCATAGAAATTATTAGTTAAATGCAACTATTGATAGATCACTCGTGCCTTTGATGTTTATTCGGTTTTATATGAAAAGAGCAATAGCTCGCGACAAAATTCTAAAAGGTATCAAATGAAATTATAGCATC